GAGCCTGACCGGGCCCCGTGGTTAGAGACCTGTCCACCAGGTGCTCACAAACAAGTCCCTCTCCCAGGCCTGGATCCAGGGTGGGGTCTTAGTAACCCACGTCCGGGCAAGGGGCAGAGAGTTCCTTGATTGTTTTCAAAATGATAGCAAAGACAGTAATACAGTATACAGGGTGGGCCATTTTTATGGATACACCTAAATAAAATGGGAATGATGTATGATTTTAACTTCCTGTTTGTGGCACATTAGTATTTGGAAGGCGGGGAAACTTTTCAAGATGGGTGGTGACCATGGTGGCCATTTTGAAGTCGGCCATTTTGGATCCAACTTTAGTTTTTTAATTAATCATGCAGTTGATTGATTTATTGCTTTGTGACAGGCCTATTGATGTTGACTCTCAACTACCAAGCATTTTAGTTTAATGTCTGTAAAACTGACTGAGCTGTAGCCATCTTTAGGCCTGTCACGATAACAAATTTTGCTGGGCGATTAATTGTCTCAAAATTTATTGCGATAAACGATAATATTGCCTGGTGACCGTTTTACAACTAATAATTATAAAAGCGTAATGTGTAAGTGTAATAAATCAATAAAATTTCATTTTTAAAAGAATTTTTAACAAAGTGGACTCTCAGTCTCTAACAAAAAATGCACTTGAATAAAAATAAAATAAAACAAAGAACAACAAAATGTAAATTAAACACCATACACAACTAAGACGGTAAATAAACAATATTAAAGAGCAACATCTCTTTAGAGATGAAACAAACTACACAGCCTGGTTAGGACCCGCTGTTTCTTATGGGGACATAAGCCCAGTTCACATCCCATGTAAAGTGTAGGCTAGGTTTAGGGTCAAATGGTAATAGGAAATACTGGTAAATGAATGAAAGTCAATGCAAAGTCCCCATGAGGATAGAAGAACAAACGTGTCTGTGTGTGTGTGTGAGGAGGGGACAGTCAGTGAGGAGGGGACAGTCAGAGCGCTGCGGGAGGAAATCAGACAGTTCAGAGTTTTCCTCATGAGTTTCTGAGACAGCTACAGGCTTTTTGGGTGTTTAGTTAAAACACAGATCTCGCGTTTAAGTTTCCTGTTATTTTTGGAGCTACAGGTAAAGTCTTGACGAATTTGTCGCGGGTCTGGGGGAGTTTCAGCCCCCACCCCTTCTCCTCCTTCTCTCTCTCTCTCTCTCTCTCTCTCCCTCTCTCCCTCTCCCTCCCTCCGCAGCGAAATCCAGGCTTTAATGCCCCGACACTTCAGCAGCCGCGTTCTGCTTTGAAACGTTTCGTTTAGCAACGAGCTATCATGCTAAAGTGAGAGTTGACTCCTCCCACACTAAGAAAACAGGAGGGGAGGGGTCAGCGGAGCTCCTGTGTAGCGGAGCAGAGAGGGAGAGACACGAAGTAAACAAACAAGCAGGAAAATGAAACTTATCGGCCCCTTTTTTTTTACCGACCTCAAAAAAAGTTATCGTGCGATTAATTGATTTATTGACTATCGCGACAGGCCTAGCCATCTTTGCTTGTTAATGTTGATTTGCTGTGGTGACCATCTTAAATTGGACTGACTCCAAAAAGTTAATCAGTTTCAGATGTACATGTAATGATTACTTCTTTAGCATTTCATTGAAATTTGTTTGGTTCATGAATAATTTGCTAACAGTGAAGCTAACACATGCTCAGACACAATTACAAGCATTTCGTGGCAGCTTGTGATGACAGAGAGACTCAACCATGTCCTCCAAKTTCAAATGAACTGAGTTGTACTTTTGGAGCCCCCTCCCCCTCAGAGGACAGATTATTTGTAACTGTAAGTCTGAACTAAGAATGACTTCTTTCATATCTTGTCGTGTCACAGACCTCATGACCGCGTTATCAAGCAGGAAATATCTTGCCTCCAGTTTCCTGGAATGTAAAAAACTCACAGTCTAAATTGGGGAAGAAAAGAACATAATTTTCTGTTTTAGACTAAAGCTAGATCAGAAGATAACAGTTTTTTGTATTTTTCTGTTTTAGTAAAGTGAAAAGTGAAGACATGAATTAAGGAAATGAAGATTAGCGCAGCTCTTTGTGGTTATTCAAGTCAACATGTCCAGTTTTTGTTCCTGTCCTCTGATCTTGTGACTCGGTGTGAGGAAAAAGCAGTGAATGTGGCACCAGTGGGTTTCTTCCATGTGGCCTGCCATGACAAGTCGCTGAAACCCACCACCACTCTTTTTTTAAAGCACAAGTCTCATCTAGACTGTGTTGTGGAACAAACACAAGAGCTTCAGAGAATAAATGCAGGAAAGGCTTTCATTAGGGTTTAATCTGTTCAGGGATGTTTTCCTGAACRAATCCAGAACAAGATGACCTGCTGGCTGCCTGCAGCGCTCATGGTGAAATCCATCAGAGCCTTATTATTACAACTACCCAACAATGTGAAACCAGCCWGGGGGGTGGGGGAGGAGTCATTCCCTCTTCACTGAGGAAACTCGACGCAGCATCAAAGCTCCTCACAGGAACAAAAAATAAATAAAAAATTGCCACGGCTTTGCCATAAAATTAAAATTGTGTGTTTGTTTTACTGAGTTGTTTACGTTAAAGTTACAGCATATGTTTATGCTGCAGACAAGATAAAGTGCCCCCCACCCCCCACACACACCAACCCTCGTTTTTCTCGTTTCTCAGACCTGAACATTATCCTCGCTGCATGAATAATTGACTTTGCTGATATTGGATGCATTATCTCTCCAGGAACCCAAGGGACGTTTTATTATTACAGTGGGGAATGGGGGTCTGATTGCCACAGCAGAGGGAGGGGGAAGGGGTGGGCGCTGTGAAGAAGAGACACATAGGGGCTGACAGAGCAAAACACGCAGCACTCCAGGCTTGGTTATAGTCGTGCAAGCTCCAACATAGTTGAYGTTCATGTTATTGCTGTTCTTCCGTTACCGACAGATGGCAGTACGGTGCCAAACCAGTGGGAAAGTAGTACGAGAGCATGTAGAACAAGAAACGCTTGACGTCACACATAACAAAGTAACAATATTTACCTCTTTCTCCATATTATCTGTTTCTCTGTGCTTCACAAACTGAGAGAGCCACACTGGTTTGTTTCCTCCAGCCAGGATCAACACTTCTGCTGAACTTCTTGGCTTTCACAAACCGGTTGCAAATATTTTTCCATGTCTTCCGGCATATTAACTCATCTTTCTTTAAAGCCGTTGCTATTTCCTTCCATGAGTATTGTGCCATCTGGTTGTCTTTATGATCTCTCATGGAGGGATCATACAGATGCTGGTACATTCGGACATGTTCAGCGAGAGCACCTTCGCAACGAGTGGCGCGCAGCCTTTGCGGAGTTTCAAAATTTCGGAGGTGCAAGACCACACACCAGGACACAACGCGGGCCCAACACGCAGGGGCGGGGATGCCGCAATTGCATCTCTTTTGACGCAAGCCCCCTCGCACCCTGTGTGTTGCTTCAACTATAATGTGAGCTTCAGGCTGATGGACTCATCAGAACTGGGTTGCTTTTTACAGTTTGGGACCCCATTCTGCATCACCAGTGCACCAATATGAAAATTTCAGCCAAAATCTATATCCAATATAATTATTGCTGTTGTGGCCAATAATCAATATTACACAAACACACAATTTTTATATATATACATATACTCACAAACACACTTGGGTCTTTTTTCAATACCATAAATAAAAAATGACAAGAACTCTGACATGGCTCTACTTCAGTTATTCTTGGCTGTGCCGTGTCACTATCACTATCACTATCACGATCAAACAGATGCCACTCGACAAAGCATCTCTTCTCCCAAAACAGAGACACAAAGATAAAAAGTGGGAGATCAATATTGGATGTTAATATTGGCCCCGTTTTACRTATCGGACCAATACCGACGTTAATGCTGATATATCGTGCATCACCAGTGCTACAGCTAGCTGCTTCTGCCATTTGATAATTGTACAAATAATCATGTAATGTGAAGTTGTCAGCAATGTAAAGATCTCTCTGTGAATCGTTATGTAATGTTAGAAATTAGGAGTTTAAGAATAGCAATTTGTTTTGGTTTTAAATGTGTTCAGTTGTCAGCTGCTCATCAGTCTGCTCTGAATAAACTCTTTCAGATCTTTTCTTGCTGATTCTTCATCATCTTTTCAACAATTTAAAAAATGTGAACCATGACCTTATAGACTGGGATGAAACATCTTATTAAAACCAAACAAAACTTCARACTTGCTTCTCAGAATTTATGACGACTCACAAAGTCGACTCGGGACGAGGTTTTCACTTGAGACAGTCACACAATGATTTGATCTTTTTTAATACTTATTTTTAATTTTAATTTGACTGTTATTTCCAGCATTCAATGACAGGCAGCACGATGACTCAGTGGTTAGCCTCACAGCAAGACAGTCTTGGATTCAATCCCCAGTTCAGACCTGGGGTCTATCTGTGCAGAGTTTACATGTTCTCCTTGTGCTTTCATGGGTTTTCTCCGGGTGCTCCGGTTTCCCCATCAACATAAAAACATGTAAAATAGGTTGCCTTCAGGCCCAGGCCTCCCTTAAAAGAAATCTGAGACCTCAATGGGATTTGCCTGGTTAAATAATGGTAAATAAATAAATAAAAAATGAAAATCTATTAATGTATCTTTGTCCTATAATAAACCAGTTTAAGTTGTTTTCTAAACACAAAGAAGCAGTTCTAACACACTTGGTTTGTAAATATTGCTTTTTATAATTGTATAGTCTTCAGTGGTCTCTGTGTGAGTCAGGGTACCCTGGTCAAGTCCTTCACAGGGCTACAGTCTACCATAAATACTAATGTTCTCATGGCTTTGCCAGCAGTTGACACTGAGCTGTAGGAGACACAACATGTGAGTCCTTCACACGTTGTTGTTCGAAGGACAAATTCCTGTGATTTGACGCTGTGGGTGTGTGTTTCAGGAGAGATTTTCTAAATTTTATCTCCAAACCCTCTGCTCTTTGTGTTTCAGAGATACCCAGAAGAATAATGGATGAAACACCAAAGTAAATCCCTGTTAATCTTTACAAAGTGAATCATGGAAGGCAGTGAGGACACAAACGCAACACAAACACAGAACGGTGTGTGCGGTTCTGAGGAGGTGGGAGGTGAAGTCACCAGGAAGGTGGACGATAGAGGAAACCCAGCGAGTCCTGGCTCGTGTGATGGCAGCGGGACTGGACTGAACAAAGGTGGGGTATCTAACCACACAGACACTCCTGCACCGTCTCTGGTGAGTCCCACTGCCGAGCCTCCGGGAGGAGTGGCTCTCAAAGTGGCAACAACTGTCCTCCACCCAGTGTGTCTGGGAGAGAGTCCCCTGATGCTGCCGATCCACCTCCAGATGGCCGGAGCAGCCGGGCCTCAGCTCAGCCAATTAGGGGCGGCGCCGTACTTGATAACGAGCCAAAGCCCCGTTTCACTTCCCCTGGTTTTAGACCAGCAGCTCATCCAGCACATGAGTCCCTCCGTCATCCCCCAGACCACCACCTGCACGCAGCTGCCCCTCCAGAACAACACCCTGTGTCAGAACCCTTTGTCGTTTGCCCTACCTCCAGCTGTTGACCCGAAGACTGCAGGACAGGCGCAGGAAGCCAACCTGCTGTCGCTGCTGCAGAATCCAGCATTCRCTGCCATCTTACAGGATCTTTTCCCTCCACAGGCCGGTTCTTCAACCTGTCAGTCCCCGGGCTCTGCCTTCTTCCCTCATCCTCCCTACACCTCCCCTCTGGCTCCTCTGGTCCCTCCTGCTACGCTGCTGGTCCCCTACCCTGTCATCATCCCGCTGCCAGTGCCTCTGCCCGTCCCCCTCCCCGTCCCCGTCCCAGTCCCTCAGACAGAGGACTCTAAGGGCAACGTGCCAAAACCAATTTGCACTGTGAGTAAAAGCACCCAGACGTCACTGAAAGATGCTACCTCTCCCTCATTGTCCTCAAGGAAATGCCAGCCGTCCTTGCAGCCACAAAATGTGTCCCCATCCCTGACGTCTCCAGAGGAGGCACAAGTTCTKGACCTTTCTGTCAAAGCGTGTCCGATAGAACTGAAACAGGAGTACCCCAGTCCGCAGCAGGACAGTGTACTGGACTTGTCGGTGCCCAGTGTGAGGAAACCGGTGGCCTCAGAGTCAGGTCAGGAGTCGGGCAGCGCTGCATTGTCTCTGGGTGTGGAGTGCAGTCAGAGTTTAGATTCCAAACTCCTGGGCAGCCTGACTTCACTGGAGTTCAGCCGGCAGCACAAGTGGCTGGTGGACACCAGCGTGTCGGGCTCCGGCTCTCTGGGTCAGCAGAGCGGAGGCGGAAACCTCGAGATTGTCAGCACCTCTCAGACGGCCAAGGTCATCGTCTCCGTGAAGGACGCCATCCCTGCCATCCTCTGCGGGAAGATCAAGGGCCTCTCGGGGGTSTCCACCAAGAACTTCTCAATCAAGCGGGATGGCAGCCAGGGCGCCTCTCTGCAGCAGCTCTACAGGATGCCGTCGGTGTCTCGGGGGCAGCAGGACCCCAACAACAATCATAAAAAGGTGTCTAAAAACAGAGCAATCAAACTGAAGAAGGTCAGCTCTCAAGAGATCCACCTTCTGCCCATCAAGAAGCAAAGACTCGCCGCGCTGCTCCCCAGGAAGTAAGAGCACTCACCCAAGGGGGGGCCGGGGAGGGGCGTCAATGGCTAGACGTCTCCCCAGACTGTGTAACATAAAACATGTGGTGACATTCTATAATGGAACATCGATGTGTCCAATCAGAGCAAAGTTTGGCTCATGAAGGTGTGTGACACATTTCATTGGGTTTCAACCAACAGCTGTTTGGTAACGTTACAACCCCGAAGTGTTCGAATGTGTCAGGCAGCTCATCTGTTCGTCTGTGTTGTCTCAATAAATCAGAGATGTTCATTTTATAACATGTTATAAAAAGTCAAACATTCCTATGCTTGACTTTTTACGTCCAACAAAGACACATGGTTCCATTCTGCTGTTTGGCTCTGCAGTTTTATTTTCACATGCACACCTTTTTTTCCCCTCGTCATTTAAGCGCACTGACAACCTAAAAGTCCTGTGCACAGGGCTGACGTGACCAAGACTGTTTAAACTTGTCACTGGAAATTCCCAAAGTCATCAGTGGGTTAGCGAAGCGAATCGTCCTCTCCTGATTGGTTGGCGGTTTAGCCTGACAGACTAAAGACCGGAGCCAGTTTCATCAAACCAATGTTGGCAGCTCTTAGCTGAAAAAAAGCAAAGGGCCTTTTAATTGTTTTCAGATTGAAACTGAGCTCTCCATGAGGCTTTTTAAATACAAGAAAAGCATTCCTTAAAAAAAAAGCTACTTTTGTTGCTGGTTGATGAAATATCTCAAGATCCTAAAACCCTCCTTACTGTGTTCATTATGAGTGAGAAAATAATTGTTTGTTTTGTACGTGATGTTAGTCCTCTTTTATCCGTCATGCTGTGATCAGGATCTGAGTGCACGTTTTKATAGTTGTAGCTAAAAAAATGAAAAAAAAAAAAATACAGTGAAGCTATTCTGCTAAAACATCATTGCCCCTTCTTTTTGTTGCTGCAGCAGTTCTGCAAACCTGGCCAAGAACTAACAGCAGCCATGTGCAGATATGAGAAATACCTTCTTTCTTTAAAAAAAAAAAAAAAAGGCAATTTATTTTATTTATGTCCCTGAACATCTGCCTGCATTCCTGTCAGGAGAGAGCTCTGGGTTTTAGCTGGTTGAACTGATCACTTTTCTTGGATTGATTTTCTTTAATTTAATATATGTGCACTTTGTAAAATTATTTATGCAGTGTGTTAACCTGGATGGTCCGTTTTAAAGGTCTCAAAAGGATTTGGCAGTCTTTCTGTTTTGATGCCTTACAAGCTGGAATTTAAAAAGAATTTGACGTTTGAATTTATGCAACATAAATACCACTCTGAAGATACTAAAAGTATTTTTTTTGGGGGGGGGGGGGGCATAAGATAAGACAAAAAACTTAAGCTTGCATAACTATTCACATCAAGCCTCTTCAGGTTCAGCTCATAAACTTGGCACATCAGACCTGAGGATTCTTCTGCTTCAGTTCACGATGGGTGGGCAGCCATCTGTAAATCAAACTGGAGAGGGGCTTTGACTGAACTATTTCAGAATATTTAACTGTTTCACTTATTTTAATCTGAATAGAAATCAGTTTAAACTGCAGGTTGTAAGGCAACAACACAGAGAGGGGTGAAAACTTGTACGATTGTGTGATGTGTGTGTGTGTGTKTTATMTTGAACTCTAATTTGAAGGTCCAAATCTGCATGTGTGCCTGTTTCTGATTGCTTAGACTGAAATAAAACTGAATAGATTTGGTTTTTAATTATTTATACATGGCATTTATAATAAAAATAAATCCTTTGGTCTTTGATTTAACTTCATTATTTTCACACGACTATATGAAACAAAATATGTGAGCCATCACATCGACACAAAACTACAAGTGGTATATGGAGATAGTGTTTTGATTGAAACWTTTGCAAAAATTGCATTGTCAAAACACAATGAATTAATGCCTTGCCAATGTGTAATTTGAATGAAATGTGTGAAATATAATCATAAAACAAAATTTTGAAGCACTTTGAGCAGTAGCAACAAAAAACCTGATTTTGAGGAAAAATACCTTAAATTTTTGATTTTCCCTGTGAAATAGCAATGTTTTGTTTCTTTTCAGCTGGGAAATCTCAATATTCAATTATAATTTGAGGTTTCCTCTTTATAAGGACATCAAAAATTCCTCATTAAAATGACATAAAATGAGGATTCAGACCAAATATTAATGTATTATTGTAACCAACAAGACAAATTAAGTCATATCTCCGGATCTGCTTAAGATATCAGAATGATCCAGGTATCAAAATGTAGCTTTTAAAGCCAAGAATCTGAAAATGTATCATCATTTTTGATCAAATTTGATTTAATCCTCATTTTGATATGATGGGTCACATTTAAAGATGATGTTTCCCACCATGGCACCATACCTCTGCAGCTGAGCTTGCCTGGATCCACATGTATTAATACAGTATTTGGGGCAACATTTTTCTCTAAAGCCCTGTGCTGAAGATCTCATTTCATAATCCAGTATGTTTTGCCATGAGATGAACACAAACTGAACATATTGGATCAATCGTTGAGTCTCTGCCGTTTGCCAAATTTGTCCAAAGGCAAAATAACTTCCTGTAAGCAGTCAGGGTAATTTTGTGTTCTTGTTTGTGATATTTTATAGAAAAAGAAAAAAAAATACACATCATCATAAACAGCCTTTATCTGGTGTGACATAATGGACAAGCATTATTTTTGCAAAACATAATTTTCAAGTAGTTTTAAAAGAAGATGCAAGAGAGAAATAAACAGCACTTCCATTCTGTGTTGAATATACTGGTAATATGGCACAAGTTTTTAAAAAGTGTAGGGAGTGAGAGTGAGGGGACCGGAGAGGTTCTCTAAGTAATTAGAAACATTATGCTACAAAAACATCTRACAAAGACCACAAAGACCTGAGAAATGTCCAAAGGTAAAGCAAGGCAGGGTCTACTACTGAAAGTAAGACAACTAAAATCACTACATCGGGTATTTAATAGACAGGAAACCACCATTAAATATTCACCCTTTTAGCTTCACATTTCTATCTTATGTATATGATTTCCTTAAAATATCAAGTTTCTACAAAATGTACATTCTGCTGCTGATATTTATGGTTAAACCCATAAAACTGTACACATCTGTATTTGTTGCTAACAGTATTCATAATGGTCAATAGTGACAACACTGAGGCCTCAGGCAAAACAACTTGCATAAAAAAAAGATCAAAACTCGTGAAAAGAAGCCCTTAGAAATGTCTTCTCTGCAGTCCTAAAATATTCTATTCAATGAAATTGATAAAACCGATACTTTCTGTGAGTCAAGACAGTTCAAACTGCATGGAGAAAAAAAAAACAAAAACAGTAGGAGGCAACTTTGGACCTGCTAAGACACAATAATTTATAAAGACTCACAGCAAGTAGTGATTCTGCAGGACACTCGTGGAAAACGTAACGTTCAGTAAAAAAAAACAAAGCAGGATACATGACTCCTGGGAATGACACAGCAAAGCTAACAGGTTTGTGGAACAACACTCACGTTAGCATCCTTCAGGCAGACAAACAGAGAGGAAGAACGTTTGATGTGGGGGTTTTTTTCTTCTCACTATACTTACCCTTCTTTATTAAGTAAAAATGCAATAATATTAAAAACATTATATAAGAAACATTCTCCATCTTTGGGGGATCCAAAACCAGGATCTAAACATTTCATCTTCATAGAAAAACAAAGAAAAGCGTCTTTGTGTGCACGTGTTATGCAATGTAAACACTGCAGGGATTAATCTGCTTTGGGGGGGTTTAAAGTCTGCTGTCTGATTACACTTGAACAGCTTTTAGTTCACTAATGGGAGGGGGAGGGGGGGTGAGGTAATGTGTCAGCGATGCACGGCACACTTTCTGAGAGTTGGGATGAAGTCGTAACATTTTATCTGTCCCTTCAGGAGGAGTTCAGGGTAACGTGTGGCCCCTGCGTGGCCCCTGAGTCAGGATTGTTTTGAAACCTGCTGCTTGCAGGGTCCGGGCTGCCCCTGACCCGTTACGGTTTGCCCTGTTTCAGCCGCTCTATGTGGTGGCACAACTTCAGAGCAGGCCCCAGTTTCAGACCCATGTACTTCATGATCATGTCGCTCCGGAGAAGCATCAAAGCTTTTCCATCGATCTCCTGTGGAAACAGAGAGGCAGAGTCATTATGTCAGGAAAAATCTGTTTTCAAATATCACTGAATTAAATACAAACTACAACCCCTGGCAAAAAGTATGGAATCACCAGTCTTGGATGAGCACTCATTCAGATATTTAATTCTGTAAAACAAACTCAGATCAAAAACATGATACAATAATAAGGTCATTCCAAAGTGCAACTCGTTGGCTTTCAGGAACACTCAAAAAATGAAGAGAAAACTGTGGAAGTCAGTGAATGTTACTTTTATTGACCAAGCACAGGGAAAAAATATGGAATCACTCAGTTCTGAGGAACAAAGTATGGAGTCATGAAAAACAGATAAACAAAAGACCATTCAAAATACATCACTAGTATTTAGTTGCACCACCTTTGGCTTTTACAGTAGGCTTGCAGTTTCTGAGGCATGGACTTGATGAGTGACAAACAGTATTCTTCATCAATTTGGTGCCAACTCTCTTTGATAGCAGGTGCCAGATCAGCTTTGCTGGTCAGAGCCTTCTTGTGGACCATTTTTTTCAATTTCCGCCACAGGTTTTCAATTGGGTTGAGATCTGGACTATTTGCAGGCCATGACATCGACTGAATGTTTCTTTCTCCAAGGAATGCCTTCACTGTTTTTGCCCTATGGCATGATGCATTGTTATCTTGGAAAATTATTTCATCACCTCCAAACATCTGTTCAATTGAAGGGATGAGAAAACTGTCCAACATGTCGATGTAAACTTGTGGATTAATAGAAGAATGAACCACAGTCATCTCCCCAGTGCCTTTACCTGACATGCAGCCACATATCATCAAGGACTGTGGAAATGTGGTTGTTTTCTTCAGGCAGTCCTCTTCATAAATCTCACTGAAACGGCACCAAACAAAAGTTCCAGCATCATCACCTTGTCCARTGCAGATTCTTGACTCATCACTGAAGATAACTTTCATCCAGTCATCCACAGTCCATGATTGCCTCTCCTTAGCCCAGTGCTCTTATTCTTTTTTGTTTAGGTGTCAATGATGGTTTTCTTTTAGCTTTCCAGTATTGAAATCCCATTTCCTTTAGGCAGTTTCTTACAGTTCGGTCACATACATTGGCTCCAGCTTCCTCCCATTTATGCTTCATCTGTTTAGTTGTACTTTTTCGGTTTTCAAGACAAATRGCCTTAAATTGCTTCTCTTGACGCTTTGATGTCTTTCTTGGTCTACCAGTAYGCTTGGCTTTAACAACCATTCCATGCTGTTTGTATTTGGTCCATATCTTGGATACAGCTGACTGTGAACARCCCACATCTTTAGCAACCATGCGTGGAGTTACCTTCTTCAAGAAGTTTCACAATCCTCTCTTTTGTTTCAAGAGACATTTCTCTTGTTGGAGCCATGGTTCTTGCCACTCCACTTCATCCAGCAGCCCTCAAAGGTGTCATGACTGCAGGTGTTTTTAACTGAAGAGAGATCAGATCTAATCTGATAATCTAATCTGACAGCAGATCTAATCTGAGGCCGGTGTCCATTTAGGGAAAGGAAATTGACTGGGTGTGTCCTTATTTTCTATCTCCAATTTGAGTGATTCCATATTTTTTCCCCCTGTGCTTTGTCAATAAAAGTAACATTCACTGACTTCCACAACATTTTCTCTTCATTTCTTTGAGTGTTCCTGAAAGCCAACAAGTTGCACTTTGGAATGACATGGAAAGAAAAATTGTAAAATATTGTATTACTTGCTGCAATTAGATGAAACTCATTTTCGTCATCTTATTCCTAAATAAAAATTTGAATAAAACAATATGCACATAATAAACCGTTGATGGAAACATGGCTAATGACAGGCGATCAGGTGATGTAAATCTGGAGCTGAGAACAGGAAGAGGAGCTAATGACAGATAAATTAATGCAGAGTATTCTTGGTGAATCTGGACCTCTGTAGGACATGGAAAACAAACATTTTTCCAAACCTCTTATCTGTCATTTGTTGGGCAACTTACATGTTTTCTGAAAAGTTCTGCRTGAGGTGCTAACGCTGTGGGGTCTGCATCCCTGACAAACTGCATGACCTCTTCAATGGACCAGGAGGAAGGGTTTTTGCTGGGCAGGTGTGAACTCTCTCGATCCGAGGCTGCAGACTCAGGACCTGTAGTGGAGCTGGCTGCTGCCAAAGCAGACAGATCCTTAACTCAAGCTTTGCTGCAGGAGGAAGTTTTTTCAACACGACCTGAAGGAGAAGCTTGGTGTACCTTCGACCCGCCTGTGAGACTGCATGGAGCTCAGCTCTGCAGGGTTGGAGGAGTGGCGGCGCATCGGCGTGCYGCTCCCGAGCTGGTAGAGGCCTCTGGCCTGGGAGTGGAACTCTGAGATGCTCCSAACAGTCTGTGGGCGAGGGGTCATGGAGTTGGAAGCAGAGTCCATGTAGCGCTGCTCCTTCATCAGGCCGTTCTCTTCATGTGGCAGAGTCTCTGCTGGAGGGAGGAGAACATGGCGTATTAGGAAGTCATTCTTTAAAATCTAGCTTTAAGACAAATCAGCACACAGGTCCTGGATRACTGTGGTTTTTGATGAGTGCTGGAGACAAACAGTTTGTGATCCTCAATGAGCTGCAGACATTCTCCACTGTCAGCTGCAGATTTAAACCCTGTAGCCTGCCTCCTCCTTCATGGAAGTGGGAACGTTTGTGGTACAGATCCAGCAGAAAACAGTCTGATGAGGCTCCTCACAGGGATGTGTGCAGATGACGGAACATTTAGAGATGTGAACGCTGGCTGAGCTCAACATTTATTTACCACTCTTCAGACATGAATTAAATAAATTTCCCCTAGGATTTTTTTAACCATGGTGGTGGCCTGTCTTATTTATTTATTTATTTATTTATTGTCTGGGGGGGGG